TTACTTCTTTGGTAGTAACTTGAGCAGGGCAGAAAGCTGATTGGGTCAGCTGTTAAGGAAAACTGGGCATTTCTGTTTCGCATGAGGACTGGGTGAGAAATGCATCGTGCATTCTGGTACCTGCACGGATTCCTTCTGCAGGCACCCCCTTCCAAATGCTTTGTCTGTTCCTTACATATGGGGTAATTCTGGTAGATTTGGGACTGTGACACATAAACCCACAGTTCTTTTATCCCTGTTAAATATGATTCTAATTTGGGGAAGAGAGGATCTTAATTTTGTTCTTAGGAGTAACTCTATAATCTCTTCAGCCGTAAAACCTCATTAATTCTTATGCAGATAATCCGCAAATAGTAATTCACTTTGACTTTACTTTGCAACCAAAACGACTGTTAAGACTTGCAAACAAGTATGATTTGTTCCATTTAGGCCTGTAGTATAAACTCAGAATCCAAATGTATAGGTAACAGGGACTTGTTTTGAAAAAAAATTATTACATCTTTAAAAATCTCCCAATTAAAAATACAACGGTAGCAAATATTTTTAAAAGTGCTGTTTACAGAATTTATGGTTTGTTAACAACTGGATGGAAATACGGAGCTAAGATGTTCTAGGTAGCTAGTACAAGAAGCAAAGCACAGAAGAAAACTGCAGCTGAGACTGAAGAATCAGAAGGGAAAAATAATCATGAAAGAGAGTAATGCTGAATTCCCGCCTGGAGTTACTAGAGGACTCCATAGGAAGGAGAAGGGTTCAGTGAACATGCTGGGAAAAGGCAGACAGGGTGTTTGTCACAGGTCAGGAACTGCTGCACATCCCTCCTTCTGGTTTACTGATAGTTCTTGGAAGACTCCAAAGGCTCCAGAGGACTCGGGAAAGGCCATGTAGCTGCCTTCTGGAAAATAGATGGGATGGCCTGTGTAAACTGCTGCACATCCCTCCTTCTGGTTTGCTGATAGTTCTTGGAAAACTCCAAAGGCTCCAGAGGACTCGGGAAAGGCCATGTAGCTGCCTTCTGGAAAATAGATGGGATGGCCTGTGTAAACTGCTRCACATCCCTCCTTCTGGTTTGCTGATAGTTCTTGGAAAACTCCAAAGGCTCCAGAGGACTCGGGAAAGGCCATGTAGCTGCCTTCTGGAAAATAGATGGGATGGCCTGTGTAAACTGCTRCACATCCCTCCTTCTGGTTTGCTGATAGTTCTTGGAAAACTCCAAAGGCTCCAGAGGACTCGGGAAAGGCCATGTAGCTGCCTTCTGGAAAATAGATGGGATGGCCTGTGTAAACATAGGCATGAGTGAAGCAATGGAGTTATTGAGATGGGTGAATTTAATGCGTGTAAAAGACAGTAATTGGAGACCATCAGTGTTGCCTTGTGGAGAGTAAGGATGGTCGTGTTAACAAAGCGTCCCATGTAGCCTAAAGTCTGTGTGATAAAACAGTTAAATACAGCTGTGTAACGTGTTCAACTTTTGACTTGCATAACCTCTTTATTAGCCAGGTAGGAAGATGCAAAATCAGTCCGGTTCCTATTAAATGGATGGAAATTTACAGCTAATACTTCATGTAATTGTAAATGGAGAATAAGCAGTAGCGAGTTCCGTTTTAAGGAGATTGCCTTGGTAAGGTTTTGGTCTTGTTTTGTTCAGCGGTTTTCCTGGTGCCGCGGAGCTCTGTTCGAGGAGCCGGTGGGCTTGGAGCGGTTGGAGCTCCCCCCTCCACGGTGTGAAGACATCCCACATGAGCTAGGGAAGACGTGTGGGAAAAGGCAGCGTCCCTGGCCGAGTCATCGGTCACATTGGTCAGGAATCCCAGGGCAGCACGGAGCTGTTTTGGTTAATGTTTGCTGAAGTACTAGCCGTGGGGATTGGGGAATGATGAAAGGCAGGAGTGATGTGAAACGGGTTGGAGCACACAGGGGTCTCCACTGAACTACATGGGTAGTTTAACAAAACTAAACTACCATGGGGAAACCCGCGTGGGTTTTCACAGCTACAGGTGAAGTTGTGTTCGAAGACTGAAGGATGTATCCTAGAAACCAATTGTGTATATATATTAAAAACGGAGGGTTAATGGATCTGGAGACTTTTTGAGACATGAGTTCATTACCTAAAAGGCAGGCGATTCCACCTCGCTGTCGGGTCTGCGTGCCCTGCGGGAAGCCGATTTCCCCGGCACCGTCTGTCTAAATGAATGGAGGAGGTGGTGGGTTTTGGTTTTGTGGGGTTCATTTATTTATTTATTTGTTTATTTGTTTAATTATTTATTTATTTTAAGCGTGGAGCCTTTTGTCTTTTCAGCCTGTATGTAATTCTATTGGGGAAAAAACAAAATGCAGATCTTGCACCAGAGGTGCATAGGGCTTCCCTTGCAGTAGCTGTGGTCCAAAAGGACCTTTCCATGTGTGGGTTGTTGTTCCCTTTCCCTTGTGGAGGAGGCCTTCAAGTCCCCACCTTTTCCTATCATGTGCCAGTGTCAAATCTTTTTAGTATTTCTGGGATGCTCTTTATAGTTTCCATCACCCTGTTTTGCATGCTGTTGATTACAACCTTATTTTTTACTAACTCGGTTGAATTGATATAAAAGAAAGTTATTCCAATTCATAGTTTAAAAAAAAAAAATGATAGAGGGAAACAGGGAAACTAATCTGTTAAAGATGACTTGGAGAGATTCAGCCCATGTGTTTTACTGAGCCACTTCAATAACAAGCATCTTTCTGTCTCTCCTTTGCTTTCCTTGGGTCCCTTTCCTCTCTTAAAATTGCCATATAGGGTTTTAGTAACTTAATAGGGGACTGCAGAGTCATCTACTGTAGTACTGGCTTCAAGTGTTGGGTATATAAGGTATCCTTGTTCCTTTTCTCTGCCTTTTTGTCTGTGCTTTCCTTTCTTCTGCATCTCCTTTGCCTTTTCAAATACGTCATTTCTTTCAGCACGTAGAAGTTTCTTGTTTCTCTATTATCCTTCGTCCCTGAAGACCTCGTGTACCCTGGCGTGACTGAGTGCTGTTCGCTCTGAGTTCGTTACCTTGGGACTAGTGTTGCTTACTTGACACTAACTCTGAGCACTAGCCCTTTCTTTCTCGTCTTCCGTGCCTCAAAAGTTGCCTGAAAACACTTCCTCCACTCAAACAAGCTTTCTTCATAGCAGTTCTTTTTTTCTTTTCTGATGCTGTGGATTTGTTTTTCTTGGTTTTATTTTGCCGTTTTGTAATGCAGAGATTAAAGCTGCTTCTGATTTCTGCCGTGCAGCTTGTAGGTGCATTTTGATCAGCTGAATGTCAGTGGTGCCCCTGGGGCTGCCGTGTTGGCTTCCCTGGTGGTTGCCTGCCCCATATCGCCCTATTGGACTCCCTGTCGCCCCGTTGGACTGCATATCGCCCTGTTTTTATGTTTCTGTGGGGTAATAAGGTCTTTGCAAGAGCTGCACGGGGATCTTGTTGCCACTTTGGGTGGTGCCCAGGGAAAGCTCCCACATGGCTCTCCATTCCTTGGCATTAGACCCCTTAGCCCAGGGAAAAAGGAGTGCTTGGCATTTGGGCAGGGATGCTCTGGAGACAGTGCTCCAGTCTGTCCCTATTGCACCGTCCTCCTCTCGGGGGACAGCCCCGCGTGGGCTAGAAACTTGGTGTCGGTTTGCACCGGGGTGACTCGCTTGTGGCTTGGCGTGATGCGCCCCGGTGTCTCGGGAGCCCGGCCTTGCTGCGGCCGGAGGTGGGCGAGGTGCTTGCCCGTTCTCACCAAAACATTTCTCGTAAGTCAGTCTCTTCTTGCTGAACCAAGGATTTCAAGGGCAAAGCGCTCACGGTGTGTGGTGCCTGGGTTGGAAATAACGGCCCCGTGTCCCTGCATCGACCTGTAAGGGTTTTCTGAGGGCCCGAAATCGCCGTTTCTGCCGCTGAGGAAGCCGCCGGGTCGCTGGGCACCTCGTGCCGTGTGCGGGTCGGCTGCCATCGCGGCCACGGGGTCCTTGCTACAAAACAGCCTCTCTGCAATCAATGAATTGTATGCACAGATTTGACTAAATTATACCTTAAAATGCCCCTATTCTGTGGGGTCTGAGAGGGGGCCAGGACAGCAACTGGTGAAGCAAGTGAGGCTGCAGGGGAAGGATTTGAATATTGCTGGAAGTGCTTTAGCCTTTTTATAAAAAAAAAAAAAAAAAAAAAAAAAACAAAATTTAAGAGGTGACTTGGTTGTAAATTGTTTTCCGGGTAATAGTGACTGGAAAGTGAATGCAAGCTAAAAATAAAATGAAGATTTTCAGCACAGGAGGTTGTTCACAACAGGAAAAAAAGCTAACAAGAGTCAGTGGGCACGTTCAGTGAGTTATCCATGTCTGGAAGTCGCCTGAAAAAGACTGGGAATTACAGCAAGGAAGCAAAGTCCCCGATTGCAGCGGAACGGGAAGCAATTTATTCAGCAGATCCTGTCTGTTGTTACTCAGCTAATCAGATCGTGTAGCAGCGGCTCCTTCTGGTTTGGGAAATGAATAAATGGGGCCGGGGAGAGGGTTGGATTTAGTGTTGTTAGTGGTGTGTGTTTTGTGACTCCCCTAGTCCTTTAGCGGAGACGTTACCGTTTGATGACTTAATGTACTCTGTGACCCTGTTGTGCTCTGCACAAGCAGGATACTGCAGCTCCACGTTGCTTACAAAAAGGCCGTGAACTGGTCACCCACCGACTAGTGCCGTTTTTGCTGCATTTGAAGTCAAAGCTGCTGCTTTCAGTGTTGAATTTTGACGAATGAGTCAGACTTGCGTTTAATTTAAGTGGCTATGTGTTTAACTAATAGTGATGCTTTTGCAAATTTGGGGGCAGAGTGGGAATAATTATGAATAACATCAAATTATACACTGAGAATCCATCGTGAAAAATTGTGCGAGCTTTATTTCGTTTTTGAGATGTGGTTTGTCCTTATATATGTCATTTTGTTGAGAACATGACTGTGTTGCCGTTTCCTCTGTCAAGGACTGACACAGGCAGCTCTTCTTTCCTTTCAGGAATCTGGGTAAAAACGGCTTATCCAACAGTAGTATTCTGCTGGATAAATGTCCACCTCCACGACCACCACCACCACCATACCCTCCCTTGCCAAAGGACAAGCTGAATCCACCTACACCTAGTATTTATGTAAGTAAATCCGATGGCAGAAGCAGCTTGGGACGGGCTGGCGTGTTCTGGTTGCGTGGGTATCTGAATTGCTTTGCATGAGTGTTGGAAAGAAGTGAACTTCAGAGCTGAACTCTGCTTGCAGTGCTCTCCCGGCTGGTACTTGGGCAGACAAAATAATAACCTTAGAGAGATTGTTGTTACATGGTCCGACTTTCACAAAATGTTTTAAATTTAGAATTTCAGCTGATGAATAAATGAGAAACGGCTTCAAAATTTGGGGTTTTATTTTTTAATACCTAGGATATTGATGAAAAAGAAAAATAGTTTGTTAGGGTTAATGCACAAGTGTATTTATACATATTTTGCAAATGATTGGTTTCGTGGTGAGTAAAGTTACTCATCTTTTTTCATAACAATCTGCTTGAAAATACAGTGAAGGAAGTAGTTAAAGAAGTTGAGATGATAATAACAGCAAAACGTAATAATTAAGAAGAGATAAGTATTAATTCCATATTTTCTTTCTTATGTAACTATATAAAAATCTAGTTGTAGTGAAAGGAAAAGAAAAAGCTCTGTCCTGGGTTTGTGGAGAATTTGAGCTAGCTCCTTTGAGAATATAGAAGAAGAAACTATAGTTTGTGTCTCTGTGACCAGTGTAAAAGCCTCGGCCGGGCCTTTTCCAGCCAGCCTCACATTGGGATCAGAAGTGCTTGGCCCTTTCATGCAGCACCGCGCTGGCTGCCTGCCAGAGAGCAAGATTAGGTTGTAAACAATAATGTATGGGGTTTTTTTAAGTAATGGATCTGAATTAATCCACCCTTTTTAAGAGTCCCTCATAGCTGTTGTGAGTGTGTACAAAAGTCACAAATAGCCACGCGGCACTGTTCAGTGTCAGTGTGCCACTGTGCGTCCTGATGTTCGGGGAGCTCTGCTCACTGCCCCATCGATCCAAAGGGATGTCTCCAGCATCTCCATAGTCGCTGCCTGCAGCGCCCCTGATATTTTCTTTGGAAGCTTCCGTACACACTTGCAATATTAACAAAAGGTGGAGGGAGGCAAAGGGGACAGGTGGTAGCATCAAATGGATGTCATCGAGGCCCAGAAGCATAGGAAAATGAAATGGGCTTTCCAGGTTAGCACGAGATGTAGCCACGTGAGCACGCTTCCCCGTTGTGCTGTGCCTTGTTCCCATCTCCTCTAGAGTTACCTCTTAGACTTTGGAAAAGCCTGGTAGCATATCGTCAGGCTCTTAGAAAGCTCTAGATTCAGTGAATATACAGGTAAAGGTACGGTCAGATAAAGAAATAAATTGTAGAAAAGTGAGTTACAAAAGCTAAAGCAACCTGGCAGTGACTCATGTCAGGAAGTAAGTTACTGTAACCTATAAATTTTGGAAGGAGTGACCCCAGCATGTAACAGGGAAATGTTTGGATGATGTAGTTTTTCATTCACAGCATGCGGGGAGAAGTATAAAATATTGACTTCCTTTGGTATTTTATTGTTTCTTCCTGTTCTTTCATATTTTACAAACAAGGAATCTAAATGCATCTGAGATCTAATATTACGTTACGTTTTTACAGTTGGAAAATAAACGCGACGCTTTCTTTCCACCTTTACATCAATTTTGTACAAATCCAAACAACCCTGTTACTGTAATACGTGGCCTTGCTGGAGCGCTTAAATTAGGTGAGTTTACATTACGTGATGTCTGTCTTTGAAAGATATATATATTTATAAAAAGATCTGAAGTCTTGCAAGGAGATCTTTTGTTTCTGTGATACTGCATTACGTTCTCTATTCAGGTTTAATAAATGGTTATCTGATTGTAGATAATCACTGCGCGGAGACACGCAGTCTCTCTGTAGAACTTTCTGCAGAAAAATTGTCATGATGAGTAGTAGATGTATTATATAATGAAAGTACCTTCTCAGAGCTCTAGTTTGTCTGAAAAAAAAGAATTTTCCTGGTAATAGATTTAGCTGTATTTACAGGTCTGTCTGCAGAATCCTTTTTTTTTTCTTTTTTCTTGGAAATAGAATCCATGCGATAGCTTCCAAGTTTTCTGGAGGCTTCTGCAGTTGCTTGTGGAAGGTCTTTATCACATGAGTTCCAATTTTTAACCTATAATTGAACGGAGTTATGGCTGAGAAACGTCTGTATATGCTTTAATTTAAGCCTTTGTCTTTTTGAAACTTTTAATTGTATTTTAACTGTCACATATTACTTTTCATATTTATTCATTCACCTTTATTAGATCTAGGACTCTTCTCTACCAAAACGTTGGTAGAAGCAAATAATGAACACATAGTAGAAGTAAGGACGCAACTACTGCAGCCAGCAGATGAAAACTGGGACCCCACTGGAACAAAGAAAATCTGGCGTTGTGAAAGCAGTAGATCTCATACAACAATTGCTAAATATGCACAATACCAGGCCTCCTCGTTCCAGGAATCTTTAAGGGTAAGTTCATTGTTATTGTGTAAGGTGTCATTTATAAACTGCGTAGTAATTCTGGAAGAAAGTTCTTTTAGTAATGGCTGTTGACAGAAATGCAGTTGTTGTTGAAGGAAAGGAGTTCCCATTGGCATTTATAAATCACTTCTGAATAAAGGGTCAATTAATATCCGAATATGTAGTTGTCTTAATGTAAAACTCATGGTTATTATATCCTTCAAAAGCTTATTAGCTTAAGCTTTCATAGAATGATATACAGATTCACATTAAAATTTCTGGAACTTTAGACTCTTCTTACAGGATATAACTTCTGATTTCCCATATGCTTTGAAATCAGAATTCTTTGTTCTTTATATTATACTGGAAGAATTTAAATGTTGCTTATTAAAAGCTTACACTCATACTTGTCTTTCGGCACAACAGCTTAAAATTTTAAAAATACCAAGTGTGACTGATGCTTTCCATATTTGTTACTGCTGGGCTCCAAGCATAACATTTTCTGTTTAGTTAAGAAGATGTTAGACATATGTGACAGAATGAAATGTTTAAAATGTTATTATATTGGTATGAATTATTAATGTGTATGCTAAAGCAGTAAGGACGTCCTTGGCATTAGCAGTGGGCAGTCCTCTAAGGCTTGTGGCATCCTGTATGTTGTGAAGAGATGAGGCAAAGGTGGATCAAGGAGGAAAAGCTAGTACTGACTCATGGCTGATTAGAAAAAGAGGAGAAGGACGGGTAGGAAACAGAGTGTTGCAGCTCTCACTGCATGGAAACAGCACTGGTGTCAGCAAGCGGGGGGAAAAAAGGATAAGTTGTAAATGAGATCTGTGTAAGTTTGGAAGAAAGGCTTAGAAACACAAAGTTGCGTCTCTAAGGGGGGAAAGAGAAGGGATAAGGGTTAAAGATTCTCAGTGAGATTCATACAGGGCAAGAAGAGACAGCCTTGGGAAGGAGGGAATGGTGAAGTCAGCAAGAGAGAGGGGGCTGGCCTCGCTTGAGGCATAAATGGTATTTTTCTTGCCCTGCAGTGGTTATAGGGTGAGAAGAACCGTGCCAGCATTGTGTTCTTGTGCGTGTTTTGTTAGAAAACTTTTGGTATGTAGTGTCACGTGGGTTACACCTCCAGTAAAGCGCGACTGATGGCAGAGCAGCACGTCTGCAGGAAAGCCTCAGCTTTGCTCTTGCACTAAAAAGGGAACTGCAGGGTTTTCTCATCTTCTCTCAGTTAGTGGTAAACATAATTTTCATAAAGACAATTTTCACTTTTCTCATGGTAATCAAATGCCATTCTTAAATGATGTACTTTCTTTTGCCTAACACTGCTTTGACTGTTTCATCCCTGATTGTGTTGTTTCACCCTGGTCATATGAAAGCTGTGCTTTTCTTTGTACAGACACAAACCTTTTGGCCTGCCTTGGGCCATCTTTGTTTTTTTTCCTCTAATAAATATCATTTTTCTGACATGTCTGACAATGTATTTTTAAGACTTCCTTATGTACAAGGACACCTTAAGAATTAACAATAGCCCTATTCAAAACAGGCAGTTCTTTCCTCCCTTTCGTCTTGCTCTTTTTTTCTATGTCTATTTCCTTGACAAAAAATAAAGAGGTCTTAGAACAGTGTTTTGAGCCCACTCAAAAACATCAAATTGTGTCACATTTCATATTGGTTAGCTTTTTTGCACTAGTCATGGAAAAAAGGATTTTTTAAATATTAGTCAACTCAGTTTCATATCAAGAAACTTGCTTGACTTTGAGGGAGGATAAATGTTCTGGACTAACAGAGCTAGCACTATTCCTTAAGATTGGTGTCCTGCTCATCTGCACGGCAAAGCAAAACAACTCATTGCTTTCAGCTGTAATGTAGGACAGCAGAAACATTTACAGTGCAGAAGTTTCTCTTGTCCTGGCCTGGGTTTCATGGGAGAGTTTTTCAAAATTTTTTTTGACTGAATTCATGTTTTCTTAATAGTAATATCCACATAAAATACTAGATACAGAGATTTTTAAATATTATATCAGCATCTTGAAACAAACATCCTGACATAAGTGAACATACTGTCATTATATACTTATGTAGTAGTACTTTTGTTAACATAATGATAACATTTTCACATTTCTATTTTTGTAGGAGGAAAATGAGAAAAAGAGTCACCACAAGGACCACTCAGATAATGAATCCACATCTTCAGATAAGTAAGTGTGGTATAAATCTCCTAATTCTACAATTTTCCATGTTCTTTTTTATGTAATTCCCATTTTTACACTCACCTATTATAATTTTTATTTTTACAGCTCTGGGAGGAGGAGAAGAGGACCTTTTAAAACAATCAAGTTTGGGACCAACATTGACCTGTCAGATGACAAAAAGTAAATCTGATTGCTGTTTCTCGCTTTCACAGTGGTATTTTACAATTGAAGCCATCATGTTACTTTGAGAAGAATCTCTTTCCCCCCCCCCCCCTTTTTTTTATTTTCTCCATTTTCCACTTACTTTTTAATGAAAACACAGTTCCAAATAATTTCTGAAATAAGCTTTTAGGTGACTCGGTTATCTGATCAATGATTTTAGTCTAGTTTACTTTGTCACTGACTGCATAATGTCAATGACTATATGATACAGTTATGTAGAAAAACGTGTGCATCTTTGAGAAATTGAAATTCCTGTCTCTCAAGAAGGCTGAAGACAGTGTTGCCAGTGGTAAATACTCTGAAGCTGGTTAACACAAGTTGCAAAATTTGTTATTAATTAAAAACACAAACATACATTGTGTATCCTTTTAAAAAAATGAATGGGTTGTGTTTTTCTTAGCAACAGCATGAAAGTAAGTCAAGATTTTTATCATAAAGCCTCCAAATGACTTGTTAGTATGTTTTCATGAGTTGTGATCACTGATAATAGAACACCTGGAGACAAGGAAGTTCTTTAACATATCGTTGCCCCTCCCAGATTATTCCAAAGGACGTGTTGGTGTTTGCTTAAATGCCTTGAGTACAGGGCTGATAATTCATCTTTGTTCTCTCTTATCCCAATCAAATGGAACTGTTGGTGCCTGTCCACAAAAGACTGGTTTATCTTTGCACATTTAGCTGTTATCCCGTTACTGGAATTGTTTGATGACTTCTATTACATACTTCTGACTTTGATTAATAGTTCATTTGAGAAACTTTAATATAAAATCTTCTACGATAGTTGCTTGACCCAAGTTAAGGGAAAACTTGCTGTTTTTGTACGTGCTAACTTTTTCAGTCATTGTTTTGAAGAAAAACTAATGCTTGATGCATTAGAAAAACTAAACTTGGGTGCTCTAAATCTTGAAATTTTGTCATGATGAGTGTCTCTGGCCTCAGATAACTGAGAAATGAGCCTTTAAAAACACCTGTCACATTCGGTGCCATGGGGTAAAGCTAATGGCTAAAAGCTGGGAATGTTAAATGTTGCTGAGAACTTTCAGTGCTCATGGCTCCCGCTCTTGGTAAGAGCGTGTGAGCTGTCTGCCAGCAGCAGCACGTGCTCCCTGTCCTCAGGAGTTACCTGAATGCATTGTCTGTAGAGGGGCAGAATTTTATACATTGTCTGTAGAGGGACAGACGGTTTTCCAAGCCAAGGTAATGGATCTTCAGAAAACAGATTTGCTTCTTAGGTGTTGTTTTTAGGGCTACTTGAAGCTACTGTAGAGGCACTGAATGGGAGAATTGAGTACTGAATGGACACTTTCTCCTCTTCCCTCAAGAAACCCTTTGTTGGGATTTGCAGAGTGTAGCAGAAACCATTTAGTGTAAATGCAGGGCAGATAAGAATCAGAACACAAAGGATTGTGCTGGGCCATGTCTAAGGAGACTGCACTGGAGTGGGAAAAAAAGTCTGCTTAGGCCTTGGATGGAGAAAATAGGCTTGGCTGGAAAGGTGGAAGTCTGCGATCCACAGGGTAGGAATAAGAGGGTAGCCCGTGGGGAACTGTGTGAGCAGCGAGGCCTCATGGATGAGGAGGGAGATGATATATGAGATATATGTTTCTTTTGGAAGAAATGCTACAAGAATGGAGAGCTGTCTTAACTGTAGCAATATGCAGTGCCCCAGGCAGAGAAAAAGGAGCAGAATCTACATTTTGTTATTTTGCAAAACTTGTCTTCAAGTGGCCTTGAACTGTGTTTTTACAGAAGGAAGAGGAAGCCTCTATGGACAGTTCCAAGCTCTGCATGGCCCTATGGAGTAGATCTTTCCATACGTGGCCTTGCAGCTTGCATTTTAAATGCTGAGACTTGATCAGTATTAGCTTTTTTTTTTATGACTGGTCCGATTTTTATTAGTTTTTACCTATTCATGAACGTTTTTCCCTACTGAATAGACAACTGTAGAAAGTTGCTCTTAATGGCTAGACATGCATGGTGCTTCTTGATGCTGAGGATGCTTGAGGATCCTAGAGAGTGTCATGGTTAAGGACAGTGAATTTAACCATTAAATATGAAGAGGGCTAGGGGACCAAGAGCTCTCTAACCTGTCTCAGTTCACAGGCAAGTGAGCTCACGCTCAATTCATTTGCCATTATAAATGAATTTAATCTAGAATTGAGACACACTTGAAAAAGAAATATCACTGCATCTATCAGATCCTGTCTGATTATTGCAAATCAAACTATTTTGATCTTTAAGCAATTTAAAGGTAAAATAAATTTCCAATTTCTTTCTGACTTTCATCTGTTCAGACTTGCAGGCTGATAGTCTTTCCAGAAAACGAATGTGTGCTTCTCAGTACTTAATGGTAGCCTGCTTTGAGCAGCATTTCAGGAAAATATTTCAAAGTATTATAAGTAATTTTGAGAGCACTTTTTGGCCACTAGTATTTTTTGATTTGAATCAAACTCTAGTTAGAATTTAGTTCCATAATATACCCAGTAGTACATCTAGTTATTTGAGTGACTTTAGAGAGCTCCAATCTTGAAAGCTCAGGGAGTTTCGTGTTCAGAGATCTGCGTTTTCATTAGCATGTGTATTCAGTTATTAACATATGTGTATTGAAGTTAAATGTTGTAGTCTTGTATCCTTGGGTTCTTGAAAGCACTGTTAACAGTTCCTGACCAGCTTGGAGTGTGGGGAGGGCAAACTGGTGTTTCCTTGCAGCAGGAGCATCCCGAAGGGATAGTGTAAAGCTGGTAACGTGACACCAGTTACCTTTACTGTACACTTCAGTGAAATGACTGAATTTCTGTCAACTAAGGATATTGTATTCTCAGAGTTTCCCTTTACGTGATGCTAAATTATACAGCAGCTGTTGGTCTGCTTCTTTATCTCTTATGCTAACAATCCTTCTGACTACTGTTTCCATGTCTCCAGCCTCTCCTAGGAATTTTCAGGATTCACAGCTTGTCGATTTGCTATTTTGCTGCAGGTGGAAGTTGCAACTCCATGAACTGACAAAACTCCCTGCTTTTGTACGTGTGGTATCAGCAGGAAATCTTCTAAGCCATGTTGGTCACACCATCCTGGGAATGAACACAGTGCAGTTGTACATGAAGGTTCCAGGAAGCAGGACACCAGGTAAGTCTCCGTGGGGGAAAAGAAAGCAAACAAAAAAACAAGTTCTGTGGCTGTGGTTTCAGTTTAACTGCTCTGTGGTTTTTGCCTCCTTCATGGCATGGATAAGTATGAGGCTTATTCAGTGTTTTGCAATTTCTTCTTCAGCTGATTTTTGTGTGTGCAAAGTACTAGATGGTCCCACCATGGAAATTTCTGGATTTCTGGAATGCTAGATATTTACTACATTATTTTCTTCCATGCAATGCTTCATTTTTTAAGGGGAAAGAAATGACAGGTTGATATCCTTGGACCTTACCTGTATTGCCTGCCTTGGAAGTTTTTATAGGCTTACGCATAGATCTTGTGTATTTATAGAAATAAGTACACATTTATTTTCTAGATTCTTTATTGTATGAGGATAAAATTTAACCTTCCTAATGAATAGTGCTGTGTTAGGGCACTGCACTAGGACTTGCAAGATTCAGGTCTTGTTTGTACTGAAGTATGACTTTGGACAATTCCATTAGGGATTATGGTTCAGTTTTCTAGCTGTCAAAAGAAGATAAAGTTCTGGCCCGTCTGCATTGATTTTGAAAGCTCTTTGGGACAGATTTTCTTACCAGTTGTCTATTCAGTGCCTGAAGTTATGAAGTTTTGCTCTTGGACTAGGACTATTGAGAAAAATAGAATCTAAGCATGAACTTCTCAATGCGTTTCTTTCTACTAGAAGGGAGCTGCTGAATTATTGGTCAAATAAGAGTTTTTTGGCTTTTCATTTTCCACAAACTAACAAAAACAGAACTCGCAGTAGCTTAGTCAGCATTCCCTAACACTGTGAAGTCTCTATAAATAGTGTTTGTAGGTGAGATATACAAATATGTGCATATTTAAATGACAGTTTATTTTTTTAATAATTGTACCATACTTTGCATTTTCGCAGAATTGTTTTGATAGACTCAACCTGACAAAAAGTATGTTTCTTTTTCTGCAAATTTCAGGTCATCAAGAAAATAACAACTTTTGCTCAGTAAATATAAATATCGGTCCAGGTGACTGTGAATGGTTTGTTGTTCCTGAGAGCTACTGGGGTGTCATGAATGACTTCTGTGAAAAGTAAGCAGCGTGTGCTACTGTACTCCTGGGAATATTTTGTGCAAGTGCTCTGTGGCTCTCTCAGGCCTCAGGGGGAGAAAATGCTCACAGAGAGTGCTGTAGGAGGACATAATTTGATGTTTTCCCATGTAATTAGTAATTGAGGATTTATACAGAATTAAAACACGGAATTTGTGTGGTGCGCCAATTCTTGAATTCCCTTAGATGCTCTGTGATAGCTTTGCTGTCAGATATTAACAGTAGCTATATTAATTGCTTTTTTGAGAGGGAACACAGGAATGAATGTAATATAAGAAGCAAGGAATTGGCAGGATGTGCCCATCTGGGTTCCAGATTCAAATTTGTACCTTACTGTGGCAAGGGGGCTCGACAGTTAGTACTAGCACAGGCTGTCTGCTACCTGCCTGCATTATATGGCACCAGTCCATTTTTTTCTGCTAGGAACATTTCCACTTTAGAAAATACATCATAGTTCTTGCTGTTTATTTAGGTATTTTATGATGCATACCAAAGCTGACCATTTCCTTGTACCAGATGGGGATCCTTACATAGTGATTTTAAGGCAGTTGCAGTGAAGAGTAATGGAGCAAAGTTTGGGGGAGGGAGGATCCAAGGTGGCAGGAGTGATGGAATGCAATATTTTCCTGGTGATCCACATTGTTAATTTTTATTATGATGAATGTTCATGCTGTCCACAAGTCTGTCATAGTGTACCTGGTACCTGACTTAGGTGAGGTGCAGTGACCATTCGGATGCACAGGGCCAGCTGCAGGGTCAGTTGTGCCTCAGCTTTCCTTCAGGAGGTTTCCAGAGCTTTGCAAATTCTTCTCAGTCTCTCAGTTTTCTGCCTACTGACAAGTGCTTTCATTTCATCCCCTCTTTCAAAGGTTGCCTGCTCTTGAAACTGTAGTTCTGCGAATGGGTTTGTGCCCTCCGTGGCACTGCCGTTCTGAGGGTAAAAGAGACACTGTTAGGGCCTTGCTGCCCTCCCAGACTGTCTAGCGTGTCTGGGGGGCACTGAATGGTCTAAAGCCATAGGATAAGGAAGGGAAGGAATTGTGTATTTTACATAACCATAACAGGAGGCTCAGGAGCTCACAATGAAGAAATGTATATGGAGGCCTTCACGGGTGTTTCTGAGGAGGGGCCAGGCTCAGCATAAACATGTGCTTATCAGCCAGGCTAGTGCCAGCAGGTCCCTTGTGTGGATGAGCTGGCAGCGTGGCTGCATCTTGAGCACTGCTCAAAACAGAAAGCATCTCCGAGAGCTGCACGGTGCATTCTGCATCCGTGTCACACAGGCCTTCATGAAAATGTCACTACCTCAGTATTAATATTATTGGAGAATATTAAAGTGGAACTTAACACAAAGTCATAAACTCACTTTACCCAAGCAGCCAGATGGGTGTCCAATATACCAATGGGTATATTGGAGAATGTAACACAGATTATGATCAAGAGCTTGAGAGATGAAACTTTCCCTTTGACCAGGCCTCCAGCATCTCTGATTAGATGCAGAAAACGTTAGACAACATTAGATGCAGAAATTTCACGGAAGTATTGACCACTAATACATCCATTGATAAATGCTAAAGACCTTATTTACCCTGTTATTTCAGGAATAATATGAATTTCTTGATGGGATCTTGGTGGCCAAACCTGGAAGATTTGTATGAAGCCAACGTCCCAGTGTATAGGTTTATTCAAAGGCCAGGGGATTTGGTGTGGATTAACGCCGGCACCGTTCACTGGGTGCAAGCCATCGGCTGGTGCAATAACATCGCTTGGAACGTCGGCCCCCTTACAGGTAGGGTTGAATTGTGTTGTATATGTTATAATGAATACTTGTTATTATTCTCTGTATGGCACAGACCCTGCTCTTGCTTATTGATTCGCCATATTGTACTAGATCAGAAAGGAACGAGCAGTGTTTTAAAATACTCCACGTGTGCTGAAACTCTAACTAAATGAATTGGTAAGAAGTGAAAGCAACAAGAGTGTGGGCTTTGTGTGATTCCATTTAATAGAATTTTAGAAATAATAGGATATTATTTAAGAATTAATAGGATTTTTAAATTAACCATTTTGTAGCAAACAACACCAGAATAAAATACGAGAAGTGAGTTGATGCCCACTGTCTTGTCGGCTATTTCTGTGACTTTCCCAAAACGTTTTTTACCCAGGCTATTAAACTATAGGTTTCATATATGTTGAGGACTGAAACCTCTAAGTAAAATCTTAATTTTTCAGGACAACCAATATGTAATCACTGTGGAATAAAAACATCAGGAAATGCAAATGTAAGATTATTTTTGTTCAGGAAGGAGTATTAGCTGAAATCCCATTTATAAGGTGGAGTTGGATCTTTTGGACTTACTGCTCTAGAAGTCTTTAGTTTTTAAGCATTCTCTCAGTCAAAAAAAGGAGTATTTTAAAAAAATGTTTTCTTAAATAGTTTAAGGCCTGTTTTTATTGTGTTATGGTGCAATATGGTGTATATCTTGAGGATTACATGATAAACTTACGCAGAGCTAACACATTCAGACACAGTAAGTTGCATAAAACATTGACTCGGGGAACAGACCTCTTCATTGCTTAATGAAAAAGTGTGCTTCATCATAAGAGACCTCTCAAGATGTGGTCTTTTTTTTTGCGTTATATTAAATGCCGTAGCACTGTAAAATTATGATAATGAGTCGAGGGAGGTACAAATGTGGACTTTTCTTATTTAAATTTTTTCAGCGTTTAAATAAACATTTTCTTTAAGTGGCATTCTCTATTCATCTTAAAAATAAAGCACTTTTCTGTGGCTTCTTGCTTTTACAGATAGGTGTTATTAAAGTTTTTTTTAGTATGTTACTACTTCGTGTTCTTAAAGCATCTTAAAAACAGCTAATAGAAATTTTATAGACCTTAAATGCAGGTACAATGACTGGATCATATGGAATGCAACTTAAGCTAGCATAGCAAAATATAGATTATGAGTACAGTCAAAATTACTTTGGAAGTAGTTGCTACCTGCTTCTTGACAGAAGGCTTCTGTAATTCTGTTTCTGTACAGCTTGTCAATACAAACTGGCAGTGGAGCGGTACGAGTGGAATAAACTGCAAAGTGTGAAGTCCATAGTACCCATGGTTCATCTTTCGTGGAACATGGCTCGAAATATCAAGGTCTCAGATCCAAAGCTTTTTGAAATGATCAAGTAAGTTTTACTTGAATGTTTCTCCATTGCTCTGGTAGCTCTGTGTTTGTTACTTTGAGGCTGTAGATCAAACAAAACACAAAACTTAATTTGTAAAGAACCCTTGATGAGACACTTCCATTCCTGAGGAGAGAGAGGTGAACTTGGAAGCCAAAATGATTTGATACTCTGTTCTTCAAATAATCCCTGTCTAGATAACAGTAGTTTTATTATAGTATTTGGTGTTACTGTGGCATAGCTTTACAGTTACCTAATTCACATAGACTCCAATACTTTATAGAAACATTTGACTGTAGATGAAATAACCTGTTCAAGATGCATATACTCACCTTAAAAAACAAAATCAAGAAAAGAACTTGAAACCAAATGTTAAGTTCAGAATGGGGAGGTGTAGTCATTTTTGCAGCAAAATTAACTGTAATTTTAGACTTTCGAACCTCTGTTTAGTTGAGACTTAAACACCAGCATTTGGGGAATCCAATGTAAATGTTTTAAGTAAAGATAAGTAGAAGCTGGAAAGCCTCCTTCCCCTTGCTTTTCCTCTGAGCAGTAGATTAGTTGGTATGATATGATAATCAAGTTTAGTGATATTTCACATAAAAAGGAAGAGAAAAACTGAGTTCCACTGTTAGAAACAAGAAGAGTAGTAAGGATTGGCTAACTGTAAGCTCTGGGAGGGTTTGTTTTGTTTTTAAACCTCTTTTGCAGTTTTCCTTTATAATCTTCCCAGGCTTAGAATGCCTGGAATGTGGAGTTTGGAGCAGCTCTAGGGTGTATTTTGTCAAAATGCAATTTGAATAATTGGGCACTTGCATTTTGCATTTACACAAGTGTTTTTGCTATGATTTAGGCTTAAAAGGATAAAAATTTAACTGAATATAACATCCTTCCCCAAGAAAAACTATTAAAATGTTCTGAATAAGCCCAGAGGACGAATCAGTAGTTTCCTATTGTCTGGCTGGCTGACAGCAGCTGAGCTCTCACTGAGATACCCAAATTGTAGATGTACCTTACAAGTGAGCCAAGTCAGGAAGGAACAGATACAACATGTTGTTTTTTAGCAGTTCCTTTTACCAGTTTATTGCAGCTACTTCTGGTTCCTTGTGTAAGACAGGAGAACAGTTCCACAGGTTTCCTCTGCAACTGCTTATCCGAAGCAAGAGGAAACCAAGCAGCAAGGAGATACTGTTTATTTCTCCTATATTTTATGATTTATAAAACCATCTTTTGTGTGCACATACCTACGTATGTGTATGTAGACATTTGAGAAAGTAGGTTCTGATGCAGCTGATGGAATTTCGGCTTGAATAGCTGAATTTCATTTGTCATCGGAGGGAGAAAGTATCAGTGACAGAGCTGTCATCTTCCTGCCAAAAGACAGGTTGGTATCTAAAATGTCAAAGGTATCTGAAGTGTTTAGATGGTTTGACTTCTGTCTCTGAGGGGTTTTAGGGTAGCACAAAAGATGAACTCCTGGAAAACTAGAAAGTAATTTGTAATTCCAATTTGAGAGAGAAATATAAATATGTCACCCTGACTTACGTGATGGTCAGCAGTACAGAGGAAATAGACTAACATGGGAGTTTAACAAGAATGCCCGTGGACACTGAGAAGCAGATCGATGATGAAATAGATTAGGACCAGGAGAAAGGTAATAAAAGTAAACTTTATAAAGATCCTTCAGACTTCTTCAGTATTTTTTTTAAAGTGCAACCCTATACTTGTTATCTTGTTAGATAAAAAAGCAAAAGCTGAAACTTTTTCTTTTCATGAGATGTTTTCTAAAGATCTGATATGAACACTAGAGTCTTGAATGGGACTACAGACAGCCAAAACATATTAAAACTTGGCTGAAGGAGCACGGTCCTTAAGAAGAGAATAATAAACAGCAAAATGCTTAAGTGGAAGTTAGGACTTTTACAAATGCATCCGAGGAAAAGAGGAAATGTAGATTGCAAGGTTTTTTGTAGATTTAAAAGTGAATTCTAAAAATAGTTTTATAAATGTGAAAGGACAGGATATGTCAGAAAGGATTATACACTAAATCATGAAGGCAGATAATATATATTTCAATACCTTTAGGGAAAGTATAAACTACTGCTAGGCATAAAGAGGTCTGTGTTTCATTGTCAGTGGGACAGTCACCATGCTTCTTACCCAGTCTTTTTGGATGCGTTAATAAAAGTGCTTGTCACTTCGCTCTCTTTCAGAAGAAATTGGGGTGATGTGCAGTTTAAAAGCTCTACCTCTAATTTATTCATACAATTTGTCATAACTTTTTAAAAAACTTAACATGAGAGAGGTGCTGGATATATACATATAGGTATAGATTTTTTTAAAACTGAATTTCTACTATACTGGAGTTAAATCAAACTCAGTGTTTAAAGCCTGTACTTTTTATTATGTCAATCTCCGTACACCTTTTAGGCTTCCTGTAGACTTCTCCCTCTTTAGGAAATCGTGGCATTTAGGAAAATGGTGTCTCATAGGCTTTTTCCAGTTCTTTGACAGCGTGAAATAGTTGATGTTTTCATTTTGAGGACCATTGCTGAGACCCAGGTTTTACCAAGAAGGAGTCAGTCATGCCCAAGCTGTAGTTCTCAGCTTTAGCTGCTAATTTGGCAAACGCTGCACATGTGTTATATGTGGGTTACAATTTGAGCAAGGCTTTCTCCACAGTTATGAAGCTGTAAGTTTGGTTTTAGTGAAGATGAACAGTGTGTTAAACATCAAGAGGAAAGTATCTCGAAGTAAACCAAAAAATTCTGTGAACTGGAAACACTTGAAAGAAACTTTTTTTTAATTATTATTTTTAAGTATGCAGTGTATATATTACATGTTTAAGGATTTAAAATGGGAAAACATTAAGTTGAAAACATTTTGATAGAACTTTAAGCACTTTGTTTTCTGTCCAATGTTTATTCTTCCCCTTATATTTTTTCAATCTTCCTTCTGCATCTAATGAGCATGTAATGTAACCACCCTGTGGAGGAGAAAATTAAAGGCTGCAAAAGCTGCAGCTGAACTAAATAGGATAGCTGAGAGCTAAATATTATTGTAAATAACATTGTAATTTTAAAATTGGATGGCCTGTTTTGCCAATTACTTTTTCTTTTAGAGAGTCTCTGTAACTCGCCCAGTAAAGTCACACTTTCTATCACACAACACTTGGGTAACTGTAAGATTGGGAAGCTTAATTATATTTTTTTTCTATCATTTACAGAAATATAATGAGGATTATAATTTGGCTAATTTTATCTGCAAAATAAGTATTAAAAACTCTTTTTTTTTCCCTATTTTCTCTATTTTTTTTCTGTTTTTCCTGTTGAGTGACTTTCTTTTCTAGTATCAGTCTGGGTAATACTATTCTTTTTCCCTGTGCATGGGAGAAGATGCTTGCTGCTGACTTTTGTCTTCATTCTGTGTAATGTGATTTCTGTCAGAATTTAAACTTTCAGACTTTGCTAACTAATAACTTAGTAGTGTTGAAGAAGTCATGCGACTTGGGGGATGTTAAATAAAACAGTGCTTTGGATAGGCTACAGACTGGTTTTCTTTTGACCTCAGCAGGCCAACTTTTGCTGATAAATTCACAATTCAAAATAAATGATCAAAGTCGTGTTTGAAAGCCCTTTATTTTATTGAGTTTGAGAAAACGTTCATTTGTTCCAGTCACAAATAAAACCTTCTGACTGATGCAGGGAAAGGGGCACTTGTGAAATGGAATCAGCTGATACAAAGGCCTGGGATCGGGAGGGCTGACTTCAACCCCCGTTATGTTTCGGGGGATGCATTTTCACCAGGTGTTTCTGGAAGCCCAGGAGGAAAGGAACTAGGTCTGAGGAAATTCAGGCTGCTTGAGTCTTGCTCTAAAGTACATTTTGATCCGAAGAGGTAACTGAGTGCTGATGTATTTCCCTGTTCTGATTTTGTTTATAGGTATTGCCTGTTGAGAACTCTCAAACAGTGTCAGACACTGAGGGAAGCTCTGATTGCTGCAGGAAAAGAGATCATCTGGCACGGGCGAGCCAAGGACGAGCCAGCTCATTACTGTAGCATTTGCGAGGTCGGTAAATACCTGTAGTGGGCTTTTCACTGATTTAAATTAAGCTTTATTTACATGTTGGCCTGTCTTTTGTTGCTGTTGTTGTTGCTATTTAAATTTTACTTCTGCATTTAAGCTGTAATATCTACTACACATTGCAAGGGCATTATGTGCTGCAGTACTATCTTGTTACGAGCTTCCACAGCAACCCCAAAAGGGGCAGCATCTAAGTGCATTTGCTTCACAGGACACAGACCTTTGATTAGAGAGAGAGAAAAAAAAAAAAAAAAGATTCTACATTCTTTTAGTAGCAATTTCTAAGTACAGAATAGCAGTTTTCACAAAGCTGAAATGAAATTCTAGCTCTGAAAATCAGTTTTTAGTTATTTTCTGACAGAATATCTTGGACAGGATAACTGTGTAAGTAAGCAGTAACTAAATTATGACTTTATTTTACAGACATATTAAAAAAAAAAAAAAGGAAAATGACGTAGATTTAATATGTATACACCTTACTGAATAACCACCATTATGAAAGTTGCTTTTTTAGTATTGACAAATGCTTTCCAGTAATGCTGTTTATATAGACACCCGGGATGTAATGTTAGAAGTGATTTTAGAATATTTCATTCACCTCTGTTTGTGAGCCTTAGGAGGATGGAATTTACCCAAACAAATTTTATTTTTATTTTTGTCTTTGCAGACACCAAGTAAGGTTATAAGCATCAAACCATGTATTTAGAAAAAACTTTTCAAGATGACATTTCAATGGTTTCATTTCTGTTTCCTTTCTGATAGGTGGAAGTCTTTGATCTGCTTTTTGTCACGAGTGAGAGCAATTCTCGAAAGACCTATGTTGTACATTGCCAAGACTGTGCACGAAAGATAAGCACGAACCTGGAAAATTTTGTGGTGCTAGAACAGTACAAAATGGAGGACTTGATGCAAGTCTATGATCAATTTACATTAGTAAGTCACACTAATAAATGGGTGCATAAATACATTAGTTGTAAAGCAGTTGTAGGCGGTCTTGGTACTCCGTTGTATGAGTACCGTGGACTTTCTGGTTCAAATGGAGGTATGGGTTGTGTGTGATATATACAGAACAAAACTGTGTGAAATAGTACAGTAACTTACTGCAGAGCATAACCACTGAGTTTTCAGGAAAAGTTTGATGTTACAATTCATAAAGTTGTGGCTTTAAAAATCCAATAGAGATCACCTGAAGACCATAACTGGATCAGATGGAGATGGGAAGAATCAGGACAGTGAAGCTTGGAGAAACTAGCACCAGGTTCAAGAGCATCTCTAATACATTGGTTGTGGTATGAAGTCAGTATAGCAGCAGAGCATCCTATGCACTCAGACCCCCTCTTCCCCTCCCCTCCCCATACTTCCCAAATCAGCACTGTCCCTCTGCTTAGCAAGTGGATGCTCTCAAACAGTTCTGTCTTTGGCTTGGGGCCTCCTTTGCCTTTCAATTTAAAGCAAAAAGCCTCTTTGTCATTATAGCTCTCTGCTATATATGGCAGCCTCCTGCTTTGAACTGTGTAAGCACAACTGTCCTAATGTTTCACCCAGGTTTCATTGTTTCAGGCAAAGATGACTTGTTTTGTAATCACAGTGAGAGTGATGCTGGATTTATTTGTGATAAGCCTTGCTTTTTCCATCAAAGGAAGCGATCACTGGACAAAGTATTACAAGAATTTCGTGTTGCATTAAATACAGCAGCCCCAAAACGGCTGTGCCTTTTGATTCATTTCCAGGTGCTGCAGAAAATGTATGTTTGGAAAATAGTTTCATGTAATACTGGAGTGCTGAGCCGTGAGCTTGAAGCTAATGCCTCAAGGTTCAGCTGTAGAGGATGGTGGGAGTGCAGGGCAGTGTCCTCTGAACTGAATTCTCTTCCCTGGTTCTGCAGAGCCTGGGGGTGGTAGAACTTCAGTTCTTACTTTCAGAAGCCCATTTTCATTACAGTCTGTGAAATACAGCAATTTCAAAGTGATCATCTAGTACAGAAAAGCATATAAGTAAACACCTCTTCTCACATAGGACTGTCAGTTAAGTGGAATGGGAAAGAAGGATTCTGTATGTGGAAGGGGAGAGGGAGGAGAGATTTTGTTGTCTGTGTTTATAGCACTGTATAGGTAATTGTGCTGATATAATTGTGCCTAAAACAGGGATTCTCAACTTGGAAGCAGTTTCCTCTCTGACCAAATCCTGTACCTGTGGCCATTAAGAGTTTCATTTTGAGATCAGTGCACATTATTACTTCTTTAAAATGGGATACAGTCTTGATAGAAGAGTTGTAGCCTAGTGCTTAATAAATAAAGTGGTATCTCTGAGGTGTAGGAAGAGAGAAGAGCTGAGATTTAGGCAAGTCACAGCAGAAAGATGATCGCAGGTAGAGGGGTCCTGTGTTTGGGGATATTGGGGGCAAGCAGGGGCATCAGCAGCTCTTAGTGTCCCAGAGGTGGCTACCCTGAGTGTGATTGAACATGTCTTTAGAAACTGTGAGTAGCTTTTGGAAGGACTCTACGTCATGACTCTCAGTATTGATGGGCAGGAAAGAAGAGGGAAGTGCCATTAAAGATTGAGTATTCTGCTGGTGATGCCACAAAGTGCATTATAAAGTGCATTACTGGGAAATGGCCAAGTATCTCCTAGACCTTGTCTCCTGAAAGCAAGCAGGAATGAAAGACACCTGGTTTCCTTCACCCTTGAGAAGCCTTGGGGCTGTTCTTCAGGTTTCAAAAGGGTTTGTCCCCATATCAGAGAACCCTTTTCTACCACCATCCTTAGCCCATGGTTGCAGGTTGGTCTTCTGGTAGGGGGGAAAAAAAAAAGAAAAAAAAGTTTAAAAAAAAAAAAAAAGAAAAAGAAAAAAAAAGAAACAGCCCATAAGGCATTTGGAGAGGCACATATGGAATCCCTCACTGGTAAACAGGTTGAGAATCCCTGTTTTAGAGCATATAAGATATATCTATACAAGCCCACACACAGCTTTTTGCTGCTCTGGAAAGATTTAATCTGCTAACTCACGCAGTATTAACTCAGATATCCATACATTATATCCCAGTCTTCAGTTCAGGCAAAATTCTAATGCAAAGTAGCCATAAAATACCCATTGTATTTGAACAGGTTGGGGGAAAAAAAGATGCCAGAATCCACTTGAAAAAGTCCTGAGGTAGAAAAGCAGTAGTGTTTATGACTTTTAAACTCTCGTGTTTACTGTTTCTGCAAAACTTGGTTAGACAGCTGAGTTTTACACCCTTGTAGAAAAGGTAATTTAATGTTTTCTTTTTCAGGCTCCTCCATTGCCATCCTCCTCATCTTGACATTTTTTCATGGACATTAAATGAAAACTTTTCTGATATTCAGGAAGTGACCCAGTTCTGCACCACTGATTTTTGTAGCTATCCCGTAAGGCTGCTGGCTGAAAGCTGTGTCTATGCAACCTTCCAAGTGCGGAGTGTCAACCAACTGGACAGGAGAGAGCACTGCCTCCTACTCCAGAACTCAAAACAAATAAAGCTCATCCAGCTATACTTCAAAAAAATAATTCCATGTTTTGTATATATCTGACAAAACTGGCAACGTTATACAGACTACTGACTTGAAGACCACCTCTTTTGTATTTCTCTGTTTCTGGGCTGATGAGTTGGTTTCATCCATTTTTCCCCATCAGAATTTCCCTTGGAAAAAGTACTAGCTTAGCTGGTCATTTCTTTGTAAGGTAGATAGAAATTTTAAGTCTTTCTTTGGGCAACTTTTTTTTTTCTTTTTCTTTTTTTTTTTTTTTAATGTGAAGAGTTAGGTGATATAAATTTTTTTTACTGCTTTTATGTTTTTCTGTCTTGTTTTGAAACCATGACGGTTACACTTTTGGTTCCTAAATAAAATTTAAAACAATTAACAGCCAAGTCACAAAGATAAATGGGTTGCACATAGACTAAGGAATAAACTTCAGATTTGTGATTTTTGTTTCTAATCTTGATGTAAATTTACACTATTTATAAATACATATTTATTGCTTGAAAATATTTGTGAATGGAATGCTGTTATTTTTTCCAGATTACCTGCCATTGAAATTTTAAGGAGTTCTGTAATTTCAAACACTACTCCTATTACATTTTCTATATGTAAATAAAACTGCTTAGCATTGTACAGAAACTTTTATTAAAATTGTTTAATGTTTAAAGTTTTTCTATTGTTTGAGTTTTAAAAAGATTTTATGTACAGTGCCCAGTTTTTGTTCTTTTTTGAATCTGATTATATATATTTTATATATACTCTTGTGTGTGTGTATATATAATATATATATAGAAATTTGAATATAAATATGTGTATAAAGATTTAGAGACTAAATTTTTCTCGTTTTAAGTTTTACATCTATGGTAGATTTGAGGTGTCTACTGTAAAGTATTGCTTACAAAAGTATGATTATTTTTAAAGAAATATATGGTATGTATCCTCAAGACACAAAATGACCTTCAGACTGGTTTATTGTTAAATTGCACTTTTTGCAATAACAGACCAATAAATAGTTTCTGCCAAATGTAGTAGTAGAAGATAAGTAATGGCTAGACTTTACAGCTCTCAAGAAAATACTGGGTTTGACAGGAGGTTTGGCACTAGTTTTAGAGAAGGAATGAAAAAGGTGAATTTGATTTTGGGTGGAGATGCTATCTAGAATTCAACCAAATTGCAATTTATATATTATAATATGTTCTATTAACAATTTAAGCATTAAGACTGAGACAGCTTGGTGTCATTGTTGACCCCAAAAAAGACGTTGTTTTGTGGTATTCTATTGTATTTTCACATATTTTGTAATACAGATTCACTGGTAAATTTTTGAAGCACTAGGTTTATTTAGGACAACTTTATAATATATCATTGTAACAGTTTGCAGTTTTAATTATGGTATTTATTTTAATTTGCTCCTTTCTCATCAGCTCCTTGAAAATGCATTAAATCTAAATTTCAAAATTGATAGTTTCCTTATCTATCGGAGTTGACTGATGCAGAAGGTCCCGCATCCAGCAAACAGCCTCTCACCGGGTTTCGTTAGCGATTGCCCCGCTGCTCTTAGTGGGATACCTTAGTGACTGCCCTGCTCTTCTTCTGTCATCAGCGTGAAGCAACAAAGGCACGGAGCTTGCGAGGGGAGTGTATTTTGACCAAAAAGCAGGGATTGCCCCTTACGCTTGTGGCCCCAAACCAAAGGTGCTTCCTGAGGAATCAGTACAGCTTGCCTGATGCTGCTACAAGAGTTCAGCTGCAGTTAGGAATTACTTTCTGCTAGACCTTAAAAACAGCTGGACAAAAGGGTATAGAGATTAAACCAAACCATATGACAAATACTCTTGCCAGGAACATTATAAACCACCAGTAAGGAAGCCAATATTTGCAATTCTGTGAAGACGCAAGTCTCAGCTCTTGATAACAAACTCTACAAATCATACCTTTTTTTTTTTTTACTTATGTATTTTATGCAGTCGTAAATATTGAAATCTTGACAAACCATGCTGCAACTGCAAGGCTACTCCTTTCCAGTAGTCTTAAACCCAAATAAAAGCAGGATAACTTACCGCAACTAACGGTAAACAAACAGTCCTCCTTTCTCAGTGATACAAAGAAAATAGACTTCCAGCTAGGGAAAGAGCTGCAGTGTGTCCATCAGAAGGTCTTTGTACCTTCCCTGCCCTTTGGAAAAGGGGATATGCCTTTACCAAGGAAGAAAATACTTTACTACAAACAAGCGGCCCGAGTGAGTGGAGCATCAGCCAGTATTGCTCACTCTGCACCAAGTTTTGTCGTGGGTTTGAATTGCTACAGGGCTTCAACACTTCACAGGTTTAGTACCTCTTAATTATGCTACACTCCTAAAATGTGGGCATTTTTCATCTATATGCTGCTATGATTCGGAGTGCTTTTGTTTTGCTGAGATCTCGTTTCTGGAGGAAAACTAGAGGAGCTTGAAAATAAAGGATCCCATATGTGGGAAGAAGGGTTAGTGAACAAGGTTTTGAGCATAATTTAAATTCTTCCATATAAACCTATCATACTTAACAAAGCATTTTGATTTTAAGCTTTTATTCAGGTACATAGTGCTTGCAGTCCCCTTTCCTCTCCCTTTTTATGGCAAAATGAGGTTGACCAGTGCTCAAGTGCTTATTATTATTTCAGAAGGAGTGATGTTGATAGTTCTGTAAGTGAGAGACAGGTTTGGTGACAAGACTTCCCAAAAGTTGCTGAATTACACAGCAAATATCTCAGTGATCTTAAAGACAGTTTCTTGAATCTCTATTAGCTGGAGGAGGGACTTTGAAAACGGTGTTAAAATGACGTTACTCTATTGAAATTTGTATAGCTTGCTTCAATTTAGCAAAGTCCAATCTAGGCTCTTGAAACAAACGGGTAATCCACAGTTGGTGAGATTCTCTGAGAAGAAGACACAGAATTGCTCAATAGCAGACGCAGCTCTTGGGCTCGGATAACAGGGATGAGGGTGTTCGCCTTGAGTTGCTGATGCTGGAAAGGGGGTCAAGTAGGAATGTTTTTTGTTGTTGGCATGGGGGCTAGCAAGAGGGCTTCCCAGTGTGAGCTCAGCTAGGTCCGAGCCGCTTTGCCTGGACTCACAGCACAGCGCAGCGCTCATAGCAGAGCCCAGCAAGTCAGCGGCGGTGATGGTGCCCACAGCTCTGGGCAGCACAACAGGCCCGAGCACGGTGGTGAAAGGTGCCTCCAGGGGCCCAGGGCACCAGGCTGTCACTCAGAAGACTTTGGCCTTGTGGGCACAATAAAAACAAAGCCAAGAACGTTGCCAAGCGCTTCCCTGTCCGTGCCTTGTAGCGCTGAACCAGCTGGAATTGCCCCATGGTGGTGGTCGGGCACGTCCCGCTGCTTGGGTTTCTTTGCCTGCTGCTGCAATTTTAATCTGTTCAGTGCTAAATTATGGTAAGATTGATGTTGTTTTTTAAAACAACAACAGTCTCCTTGCCAGCAGGCTGTCCTGCAGGCTGGTTAACTTGAAGGGCATTTTCTGAGCTTGAGGAAGGTGGTTGATGCAGACAGTGGGTGCCGTACAGCGGTTTGACCCGTTCGGGCATCTCCACAGACAACTTTCACAGCGATGTAGAAATTGCCAATTAAATAATAAAAAAAAAAAATAGACTAGACCTTGGGTAGAACTGAATCTTGCCTAGCACAGGATAAATGAAATACCAGGACTCACTTCACTTGGGATGTGAAAACAGTTAGGAAGAATAACTGGCAGGCAGTCCCAGTTACCACTTTTTGGATGTGTGGGGGGGATGTTTTTTCTTTTTAAGGGCAGTAGCATCGGGCAGGGTTTCCAGCGCAACATGAGAAGCAGCATGAGCTGCATTCGCTTCCAAGGCCAAACGCAAGGCCAAACGTCACCTTAGCTGCAGATCTGAAACTTCATTCCAGGCACTTGGGGACTCTTGGCAGGCCTGGGGCAGACCCAGAGCTCTGCTTAGGTGCAGGACCTGGCCTTGCTCCGGAAACGCTGGCGTTGTGTGTGCTGTCCTGGATAAAATGCCATCAGCTGGCAGCTCCTGAGCTTCCTGGGGAGGAACTGCAGGAGAACTGAGTCCACTGGGTCCACGAGAGCAGCTCACGTGGGTGCGTGGTATCACTTTGTGGACATTTATTTTGGCTCAGGGCCTGTCAGAGCAAAGGAGACAGCGGGACTTGGCTGCAAGAGGAGCCTTGCAGGGCTGCAGCAGCCCAGCAACAACTTCACCCACATGGAGGTCCACGGCAGGGCTGGGCACTCACCTCCATCCCATGGGAGCAGATCAACCTGGGGAAAGCAGCCACAAGCTCCCCTGGGTGGAGGGCATCTCAATAGAAAGAAGACTTTCAGGTCCCTGTGGATTAAGTTTCCTTCACTGTTATCCATCACAACACTTGAATATACCACGGGATTTGGGTATTGAACACAAAAGAGGGATGGCACAAATTGCTGTGTCTGTGTACACTGAACAGTGTCTGTCTCTGCATTGTGTGCTTGCAAGTGACGACTCCAGCACCTTCCGTCTTTCACCTGGGTGCCCAAACCAGGAATTTTGCAGGGTTATGTCTGAGGTAGAGGAGAAAATATCTCCCTGGAAAAACAAAAAGTGAAAAGAACGGGGAAAAATAACAGTGCTTCTATGAGACGTGGCTCAGAAACTTAAGTACGTGCATTTAAAAAGGAAGGAAGCCAAGAAGGAAAGGAACAAAGTGAAGCAGGGAAGAAGTGAGGGCAGTCAAAAATGATTTGAGTAAGTCTTCTGTGAACATCCCACAATGGTAAGAGGTAAATAATGTGTTACGTGGTTTGTGGTGTCTTTGAAGAGCCACATCTTGAAAAAGAACACAAAAAAACAGGCAAGGTGGTAGGAGTTTTCAAGCACAGAACAAAATGGATTGGCAATTTCCATAAGTGCAACTGCAGCTCCTAATTTTCAAAATAAGTACAAAATGCTGCTTACAGGGACCGACAAAGTCTTCAGCAATTAGTGCTGGGTTATGAAGGATAATGTCTGTTGGTTATACATGCAATTGTGAGATGGAAATATAAGAGTCTGTGGATGAACTTTGTGATATTTGAACAGTTACTTGGCAGCCGGGCGCTTGCTGGGAGCTGGGTGCTTGGGCGCTGTGGGATTTCTCTGCTCCCCAGTGCCCCAGGGCCCCGATCCCCCATGCAAAGCAGCAGGGTCGGCTCCCCAGGTGCATGGGGCAGGAGCCCAAGGGCCGGACAGAG